TTTTTTTTTTTTTTCTTCCTCCGTTAGATATACTTGATCAAGGGTAACGTCAAAATACTGTTGGGCATCGTACGATCTTGACTTCTCAAAATAAATTGACTCATTCAAATGGCATTGCCATTTACGTGGTCGATTTCGAAAGAGAGGCAAGACAAATACCTACATTATTTTTAATGAATGTTTCATGCGACAGAATCGAAAATACAAATGGAGAGGATGTGTGGATTGTACTATGATGATAGAGAGAAAGTTTATTGCTGGACAAATAACGGAGCTATTGGATTTCAAGAGAATTTTACAGATTTTGATCAATAAGTTTTAAAAGAGAAAGAGAATTATTACTTGAGCTATAATTGTAATAGTATTCTAATAATTTATTTCTTTATAAATTATATATATATAATAATACAACGAGATTTTTCGCTGGAAGATATACTGAACTTAAATATTAGATCTACAGAGACTTCAATTGATGATGAGATCAGGAGATCATAAAAATCACTTTTTTTTAGAACTCTTCTGCTTTCCCTCCTTCCCTTTAAAAATAGTTGGATCAATAACATTTGTGGGTCCATTATTCCACATGGAAGTAGAAATAGTCTCTGTTGGCTCAACAGCCGAAGGAAGTAAATGAGGACCAATGAGAAAGTAAACTTGTTCAACCCACGGTGGTAGAGACAAACCAGACACACAACACTGCCACAATGGCAAACCCAAATGGACTAGCATCATACGAAAATACACAGTGAAATTATTTGCCAAATGGTACCATCTATTAGTGTTTTCTCGATGCAACCAAATTGTTGGTGATTCTTCTTCCTGTTTCATGCGGTATAACAAGTAGACCTTGGCCATTCCACTCTCTGGGAAACATCTTGCAATTTCAAACATCTTGCAACCGTGCTCGTTTCCTTGCAAATTAATTGAATTTGGATTTTCAAAGTCAATTATGCTGCTGGCAGTGACTTCATTATTTAGTTTATGAGTGTCATTGTCGAGTTCTTGCTTGCTGCTGCAGTCTGTTTGATGATCTTTGGAATTGTTCGAGTAGCGTTTCAGAGAGGAAAGCGTGCCAATTTCCATACATCCTACAGAAAATTCTTCACCTGTGTGAAAAAGATGTGTTACGTGTTAATTATTTCAGAATAATAGGTAATTTAATTATTATATTTATCATACATCATAAATGTAGAATAATAATTATTAATATTAATATTAATATTATTTTTAATTGTGAGACTATAGTGACGAAAATGTCAACAGTTGTAATCGTTCAAGCCTGCTGCCAATTCTGAATAATAGAAATGCAAAAAAAATTTATTTCTCAACAAAAAATTTCTTAGAGAGAAAGAATAAAAGAAAAACAATTTTTGTTAAAGCACTGTCGCACAATCAGAAAAGAATAATTTTTTACACTTTTTAAAACAGTAGAAATGATACCGAGCGATCATTACTAATACATCAGTTCAAAAGGAATAATTGTGGATGAAAGTCGATAAAGAGAATCATGAGAATGTGTGGATAATTTTAAAAGGGGTTTACCTGCTATTTCGAGGTTCCATTGAAGCAGGAAACCGTCGATCGAAGCATAGAAGTTCTTAACATCCTCCGGGAGCGTACAACAATGACGTTGCTCCCAGCTGGTAATGGCCGTAGTCTCACATCCATTTCTACGGTCGACTCGTACATTTTTTACGTGCGGAAAACCCTCGAGAATTTTCACTACACCCAACGTAAGATTCTCGTAAAAGGAATCCTCTGTTACGATATCGACGAAGAACGACATCGAATTATATGTATACCTTCTTAATATTTGCCCACTGAAATTTCGACAACAATGGAGAAGGATTTCTTCATTTGGAGAATATTTAATAATTTAATGTACCAGATCTGTTTGAATGATGGGAATTTTTAATTTTCGTAGAATATTTCGTGGAATATATTTAATACTATATATAGTAAAAAGGATTTACGAATATTCATCAAAAAGAAAAGAACAATCGAAGTTCACTAAATTTATTTATTTTTTGCCAGAAAGAAGAACATTTCGAAACAATTTTCAATCCAAAGGGATTTTAAATAAAATAATATTTGATTGACTTCTATAAGAATTATCAGGCAAAGGTTTAAAGATTAATTTAAAAATTTCGAGAATCAATGCTAATCCAATTATTCTAAAATATTTTTCAATCTTTTTTTACTCCATCATCATGCGTATCGTTATTTCTTCTCTCTTATTTTTTCATTAAATTAATATCTTTAATATGAATTACTCTGTGAACAATGAATTTGTGGTGTACAACGAAGGAAATCCTAAAATCGCTTGCGAACGATCGTAAAACCGAGAATAATCGCGCTGATGAATCAGACCAGTCTGATCCGTTGTTATCGTCATGGTGACGAAATACGAAAGCGAATCAGCATATCCACTTTTCCCGTATTCAAACGGATCGACGAGGGGTTGTATCGAACGCTTGCGCAGGTTTACGTTGCACGACAGGTGTGGGAGAAGAGGGTGCAGGTAGAATAATTATTATGCACGCACGGGGGAGGTTCCTTTCAGAAACTACCGTGTGCACCATCTCCCCACTCTTATTCAATCGAAATCGTGTACGATTTTTAACGTATATATTATTAACCATAGGCGAGAGAGAACAGCTGCTGATAACGACTGAGAATTCAGTTAAAAGCTTGTCCGATGTCTGGAATTAAAAATGTCCATCCATCTGTTTCATATTATATTTTCTGGAAAATTTTCCTTTCCTTTTTTTTCTAGTCTCTTTTACTATGAACAATTTATCATTGCAAATTATATTATATACATGTTTTCCTAGACACATTTCTAAGATATAAAATTTAATTATATAATAAGTATTGAAATTTATATATTGATTCTCATTCAACTTTTTTTTTTTCAAATTTTTACAGGAAATTTTCCTCCCCCTTTGTACCCTAGGAGTGTTGATAGTAGTAAAAGTATTACCACCGAATCCAAATTATCCCGCAATGACAACGCAGAGGCAGGAGGGTGGTATATTCGAGACATTCAATGGCTACAAGAACAATACGATAGCCGTTGTTCCAAACTCAACAGAAACTTTGGTACATGTTCCTGTCATTAAGAGTTTTGTCTACAGATAACTACTATACACTATATACATAATCTACCATACCATACCATACTACTAACCATCTTTACAATGTTATTCTTGTTTCAGACCTTTTTAAATTCGATGAATGCCCTATGGTCATCAATGTGGGACTATCCTGGCAAACTTCCTTTAAATTTCATGGTGTTTGATACTAAGGATGATCTGCAAGCGGCGTATTGGAGAGATCCATATAGTGTACCTTTAGCAGTAATCTTCGAGGATCCTGAACCTATATCTCAGCGTCTCTTGTAATATTTAAAAACATTTGATAATAATCAGTTAAAGAAGTAAAGGTCGAGTAATACATATTTAATCATTGTGTTGCAATTTGTATTAGGTATGAAATAAGAACTAATCCATCATATACGAATCCACCTTCACCGACTGAATTATATTCCGCCCCAGTTACTTGCCGAAAAGATACGAGCCACTGGTTGGGTGGTGTATTGTCAATAGAGACTGGTGGATCATGTCCTGTGAATAATTATTTGCACTCGGGTTTCTTGGCATTACAAATGATAATGGATATCACAAAGATAAAAGTATGTTTTGAGTTGTACATTTTAATAAATTCGGTGATATAATGATGAAAAGTTTATTATATATTTATTTATTATATTCTGTATATTGACAATTTGCAGTTAGATACAGAGAATAAAACTGTAACTGTACCAGATATCAAACTAGAAATGTTCCCTAAAGAAGCTTTCACCGCAGGTAAACATTATTTAAAAATAGAATGTTTTAATAATTTCTAATTAATATATCAGATTATTGTTTATAAAAACAAAGCAATCTTTAGGAATTAAGTTAATAATTAAATGTTTCTTTTATGGGTGTATTTCTAAGGATATTTTTTATTTAGACTGGATGCTGGCCTTTAGAGTTGTTATACCTCTTTTTATGGTCCTGGCTCTTTCGCAATTTGTCACTTATCTTCTGATCCTGATAGTCGGTGAGAAAGAGAAAAAGATCAAAGAAGGAATGAAGATAATGGGCCTAAAAGATTCGATATTCTGGTGGGTAAATGTTATTTAAAAATCAACTAATAGATTCACTTCAAATATTGGCATATATTTAATGATCTTTATGTTGCATGATAAAAAGAAATTTAAAAAAATGGAAAATTGAAAATTGTAATTTCAGGTTATCGTGGTTCATTATCTACAGCGTTTTTGTCTTATTGCTCTCTGCTGTTGGAGTAATACTACTTTTTACACTACAAATGTTTCAACACACACACTTTTTACCAATATTCCTTTTGGTAGTGCTCTATAGTTTCTCCATAATCATGTTCGCTTTTATGATAACACCTTTCTTCGATAAATCACGAGTAAGTATTTCATTATACACAATACTGTTTTGCTACTGTTGCGTTTTTTACTAAATTATTTTTGTCTATTTTTTTTTATCAGACTGCCGGTGTGCTTGGCAATTTCGCAGTTACGATAATGAGCTTGATGTACTTTATTCAAGTCTTTATAAATGACTCTAGCTCAGTCCCGTTTTGGTTAGTCTCTCTTCTTAGTCCAACTGGCGTTGCTTTGGCTATGGATAAGGTTTGTATCACAGTATGTAGTGTTATTTATGATTAATGAAGAAAGTGTTGTCTCTGATTAATGAAGACCAGTGTTGTCTATGATTAATGAAGAAAAGGAAATTCTATGAATAAAAAATTTTATAGGCTCTTGTATTAGATCTACAAGGAGAAGGAGTCAACTTTGACAATCTTTGGTCAGGTCCTGGTATACCATTTGGGGGGAGTCTTATTATGATGACTTTAGACATAATTCTTTATGCTTGCTTAGCTTACTATTTTGACTCTGTTATACCAAGTACGTTTTTTAAAATACTTGTCATCATATTCATTATATTATTAATAAATAACAAGTAGTTAAATATTAAATATTTAATTTAGGCGAATATGGAATAAAAAGGACTCCTTGGTTTTGCTTCACGCCTGAATTTTGGTGTCAGAGAAAAGCTCCACGGGTGGGTTTCATTAACAATAATCCAAAACATTGAATATGAAAGAAAATAGAAAAACAATATATTCGCAGTTGTGTTTACAGGTACCGTCATCAAATGGTGAGTCAAATTCTTTCATCCCTGGTGAAGAAACTAACCGTGACGTTGAACCTGTGGTCCGTGAAATGAAGGGTCGTGAAGCAATTAGAATAGTCGATCTTTACAAATCTTATCAGAAATGTCGTAAAGCAGAAATTAAAGCCGTGAATGGTATTAATTTAACTATTTACGAGGGTCAAATTACGGCAATACTTGGACACAACGGAGCTGGCAAAACAAGTCTTTTCAATATATTAACTGGCCTGACCGCACCTACTGCTGGCACTGCCTTAATATTTGGTTATGATGTTCGAGATTCCAATGATATGCAGATGATTAGAAGTATGACTGGTGTTTGTCCACAACATGACATCCTTTTCGATCTCCTCACACCTCGCGAGCATCTTGAATTCTTCGCTGCTGTACGTGGCATCCCAAAATCAATGATTGAACACGAGGTAATATAATGTATGATGAATAAGTTGAGAATATTTTGTATGAATCATAAATAAAAAAAAAAAAAATTGTCATATATGACTATTTTTAGGTAAAAAAGACTTTGAAAGATATTGATTTAACTGAGAAAGCAGATACTTTTGCAAAATATTTGAGCGGGGGACAAAAAAGAAAATTGTCTGTAGGTATCGCCATTATCGGTGATCCGAAGATTATTATCCTCGATGAACCAACAGCTGGAGTTGATCCCTACTCTAGGAGACAGATGTGGTCTTTCTTACAATCTAGACGTCACGGAAAAGTGATTCTATTGACGACCCATTTTATGGATGAAGCAGATATATTAGCTGATAGGAAAGCGGTTATTAGCAAAGGAAAGCTGAGATGCTGTGGCAGTTCTTTGTTCTTAAAAAATAAATTTGGCATCGGATATCATTTAACGTATGTGAAATATTTGTTAAATAATGAAGAGCAACGATGAAACATATTTAATAAAAATGTATTTGTGAATGTATAACAGGTTAGTACTTGAAGGAAATGTGAGAGAACACGCTATTACCAGATTAGTAATATCTCACGTCTCAAAGGCAGAAAAGGCAAGACGTCATGGACGTGAACTGAGTTTTATTTTACCTCACAATTCAGTGGAAAGCTTCGCACCACTTTTCTCAGCTATAGAACATGAGATCAAAACCCGATCAAGTAGATTAGGCATTAGTAGTTATGGAGTATCAATGACTACTTTAGAAGAAGTATTTCTGCATTTAGAAAAAGATGAAGGCCCCGAGTATACTATGGATAATTTATCAAAGAAAATGGTGCGCAATCGTGCATTAAGTAGGTCTTTATCATTACAATCTAAGAGTACTTCTTATCAGAGTTTGCAGAACGAAGGTGTTACTGTCCAGAATGATGGTCAAGCAAAAGGTACATTTAATTTAATATCTACAAATTATTATAAAGTCCACAATTTATGAATTCTTACTATATTTTATTATAGAGGCAGGGGATTTACCGGATGGCGTTCATAATGATAGAAATCCTCCTGTTCTTGGCCTTGGATTAGACCCCATAAAAATTCGGCCTAACTTCCTCCAAACCTTATACGCTATGCTTCGCCTAAGGATACTCAGACTCTTTAGGAACATTCAGTTATTGTACTTCACTATCGTTGCGCCTCTTTTTCTAGTAGTTGTTGGCCTCCATTTAAATAGCATTCAAACAGTTGAGGTCAAGATGCATTCTCTTAAATTGAATACTGGTATGCTTCTAAATAATTATATTTCTATGAATTTGGAAAATAATTTTCATTTTGGTACAACTTCTTTTTTCTTTCAGATACTTACGGAAATGAGACCAAAATTTTGTATGCGAATAATACCGATCACGATATCACAGATTTAATCGATGGAATAAGTCAAAATGTAAAGCACATTGAAGAATATTCTGGAAATTTTGCAAATTTGTTAAAAATTGCACCACATATAGCTGCTTTTAATATCACTGAGTATAGTCTATCTAGAATCAATTTAACTGTCACATATAACGACACCATCCAACATTCCCTACCAATCTTAATAAACTTGTTATCAAACACTTATTACAGGTATAATTAGTAATTCATTAATATATCGTAGATTTAAATAATTGTATTTAAAATTCATTTATTTTCTTTAGATTGATCTCAAATAAAGATACAAAACCAATTGAAGTTAAGACACATCCTTTTCAGCAAACTTCTCAACCACAAGAATTCAATATTGGCACAGCGAGTTCCGCTTTGTTTATTGGAATGAATTTTGTATTGTTACCAATAACTTTAGTTGTAGATATGGTCTACGATCGTGAAGTAAGACTTTTTTTTTATTAATTACGTTTCTAAAATGGTATATTGTTTATTTTATTGTTTTAAATAAATGTTTGTTATTTAAAAATAATATACTTTACAATATTTTTTATATTTTTAGATAAAAGCGAAGAATCAGCTTCGTGTCAATGGTCTGTCTTTTTCTATGTACTTTCTGACGTACTTTATTGTACTTGTCGGCCTGATGACTTTCATTTGTTTATGTATTCTTGGCATCATATTTCTCTTTGACGTGCCTTCGCTTCAAGAAATACCAGCTCTTATTACTTTAGGTGGTCTTTTGATGCTTTATTGTCCATCATCCATTCTATTCTCGACATGTTTGAGTTATATCTTTGATAAGATGGATTCTGCTCAAAGTATTTTGCCCAATATTGCAACTTTTATTGGGCTTATTCCGTTTATACTAGTCACAATTCTTGATATGCTGGGCCTTAGTAAGTTACACATTCTTTAAAGACTAATTGTTTATATATTGTTTTTGTTAAGAATCATATTTATAATTGCATATGAAAATAATGAAATATATATTATATAAATTTCATTTATAATAATGAAATAAATATATATATATATATTTATTTAAATACTCTAATCTACTATTACAATCAATTAATAAACTTCTCAGGTGGAACAGCAGCGTTCATTCTACATGTAATTTTTTCTTTACTCAACACATTGTACGTACCATATGCTGCAGTGTATTATGTAGAAAGAGTGCATCTAATGTGCTCTATTAATGCTGCTTGCCATCATTTAACTATGTCTGATTATTTAACCACGGAAATCATTTTAATGGCCTTTGGCGTGCTTCTGCACTGCCCGGTGTGGTTTTTCGTGCTTTTACTGTTAGACATTAAGAAGAGTGGTGGTAATGTTAGCGATGTATTGAAGCATTTTCTGGTTAGTGTATAATTGATACAATAGATTGAAAATTAAGATATAAAATTATTTCATAAAAAAAAATATTTGTCTTTTTCAGCGTAATGGCGGATCGATCGGTGAGGAAATAATGGAAAACTCTGACGTTGGTGAGCACGAAGATGCAGACGTTAAAGCAGAAAAGCAGAAAGTCTTTAATCTAATTAGTTCATCATCCGTTCAAGAACCGCCTGTAGTTCTAGTACAGGTATTGTTCTTCTACTATGTTCTACGTTGTTTTTATTGTTATAATCTCTATGTATAATATATAACCAAAATTACATATTTTTTAGAATTTGAGAAAAGAATATCGACAAAAAGATACAGGATCATGCAGTTGTTGTTCAAAACAAGATGAAGAAGCTAGTCAAATACAACGAAAAGTTGCTGTAAGAAACCTTTCGTTAGCAGTTGAACCAGGAGAAGTATTCGGTTTATTGGGTCACAGCGGTGCTGGCAAAACGACAACAATGAAGATTATTATAGCTGAAGAAGCAGCTACTCGAGGCAGAGTGCAGATCGGTGGTCATAATATTAATTCAAGTATGACGGAAGCTTTCAAACAAATGGGATATTGTCCCCAACATGATGCTCAATGGAAGAATATTACTGTTAGGGAACACTTAGAATGTTATGCCGCCATTCGTGGTGTACCATGGGGTGATATCAGCAGGTAATTAATTTGGGCTACATTAACATTAATATATAATTCTGAAATAGAGTAAAAAGTACAAACAAAATAAAGCTCCATATTACAGAATCGTGGATTTATATCTTACTGGTTTGCAAATTCACGAACACGCCGACAAACAAACTCAAGAATGTTCGGGTGGAACTAGAAGGAAACTTAGTTTTGCCATGGCAATGATCGGAGGTCCAAAAGTTGTTTTAATGGATGAACCTAGTGCAGGAATGGATCCTAGGTCAAAAAGGTTTTTGTGGGATACAATTCTTGCTAGTTTTCAGGTTTGTGTTACTCTATTGAAACTTTTCATTTCTTAAAGTGCATGACTATTAATGACCATTTTATTATTACCAACAGGGTGGTAGAGGAGCAATTTTAACCACTCATTCAATGGAAGAAGCTGACGCTCTCTGTTCTAGAGTGGGTATAATGGTGAAAGGAGAGTTAAGATGCGTTGGCTCTACTCAACATCTCAAGAATTTATACGGCGCAGGCTATACCCTCGAAATGAAACTCTTAGGCGGTGACTGTACACCAACGACACCCTCCGGTGATAGAATTACTAGTTTGAAAGAATTTGTTTCCAGTCTTTTTCCAGATGCAACTCTCGAAGAAAGTTTTGCCGACAGATTAGTTTTTGCTGTTCCTCAACATGCAGTCAACTCGCTGGCCGAGTGTTTTACGCAGTTGGAGAAAGGTACAACATCAAATAAACAATTAAATTATCACACGTTATTATTAAATTAATTGAAATTTCGATTTTCAGCCAAGCTCGAGTTAGATATCGAAGAATACAGTTTTAGCCAAACTACTTTGGAGCAAGTTTTCCTTAAATTTTCCCACTATGACGAATCTAATTCGGGAGAATGATGACTCACACAAATGAGTGTATTTATTCCCATGTGTTGTATAGTGAAATACTCATGGAACTGCTCAACTTGTGCAAAAAGTGTAAAAAATGTTATTCTTGGAAGAAGTGATTTGTTCTTTAATGTTCTCACATACTATTGAAAATCACGAAGACAGAAACGATTTCTGCATCAATCTAAAATATCAAGCATATTCTAATAGTTACGTGAAAAGACTTTATATTATCTTTGGATGCAAACTTTGAAGATTACCGATCCTATTTTGATCCTCGAGGATTCCGTGAGTGAAAGAAAACGTATTTTTACGATATACATCGATCGACCTAATCGCTAAAAAAAATTAGATTTTTTTTTTTTGAGCCGGTGTATCGTATTGTTACGTTCATCAGAATTAAACAGTGACTTCCTAACTATTGAAATGGACATATGTGTAAAATTAATCGAGCTGTAAATAGTGGAAAGCTGTGAACGATTTATTCGGTTCAGTCTGCAAGGAAAAGGAATAACAATACTACTTAAACAGTAATATTCATAATTTTGAAATTATATTGTAACATAGTCTATTATTCGATTCCTACGGATATTACGAATAGGTCTCATAATTAATATTGCTGTGGAATTGGAACGTTATTATCATCATTATAAGAATAATATTAAATATTGACAGGAAACGAAACAAGAATCCAAGGATCAATATTAAATTCTTTTTAAATGCAGTGAATTTAATGAATTACCTATCTACATTGATAAACGTAGAAACACAACACCTGTATATTCATTTTAGTGATATTTATGATTACTCGTGGTTATTTCGAGTATTGTTAAAAAAAAAAAATGGCATCGTTGTTCAGAAAGGGTGCTATATCGAGAAAGGCTACGTAATATACAATCGGGCGGTTTGATTTGAGCATAAAGTGTGTAGTACGTATTTATAAACACTTCTCCAATTCGCTTATGGTCTTTACCGAAGCCTTTTGAATAACAAAAAAAGAAGTTGATAGGTTGTTAATCTTGCCTCGGTAGCACGTAAGACGATAATTTAATACAAGACTTCTGTGACAGAAGCAAGCGAAGTATGATAGAACAACTTGAATTCAGTAAAATATATTACAAGAAATTTTAAATAGTCCATGAATGATTTCATAATTTATGTTAAGAAAAACACTACATTATGACAAAATTATTAGTAACTATCTTTTTATACAATTTTTTGTTCAATGTTATAATTTAATTGTTCACTTTCCAACGTTCTTACTTTTTTAGAAAATACTTTATTTTTTACTGCAAATGCAAATCTTCAGTAAATAACATAGTATGATGAAAACGAGTTGAAAAGAATGAAACTAAACAAAAACAATAATTTTTTATTACATTACGTAAAGCTGCAAGCATTATATTGAACCCTGTTTAAGAATGGACTTTAAAAATAAATCTAAAAAGAGTTAGATATTTTGTTCTGTATAATCAAGAGGGCCTGGTATGCGTTAAGAATGATTCATTGAAAAGGTAAAAAGGAAAATATTTAAAAAAAGACTTAGTTAAAATGTTAGGGAAAAATATGCTCTCAAAATTTTTCATCGGAGAACAAATTTTTTTAGATATTATGTGCGTACACTCGATCTTCCGTAGTAAAAAAAAAATAAAAAAAAAATAAAAAAAAAAATTAAACGGAAGAAACAGTAGGAGCACTGGTGGTTGGAGGACTGATTGAAATATTTTGTAGATTATAGTGCATAGGTAGTCAAAAAATAAAAATTTCATTGTGTAAGAAGGTATTGATTTTTGTAAATAAAATTCTACGTAAGAAGATTCTTACATCTATAGGAAATGTAAAATGATAAAGAAACGTGCGCTAACTGTGCATACGCGTATAAAGGGATTGTGTACGCACAAGTCTCACTCTAGCTAATATCACATTAATATAAAATTTAGTCAATTATGGAATTAACATGAATGAAAGAAAAAACTGCAGATAATTTTATGAAAATTATATATATATAAATATATAAATATACGTATATTTATATATTTATATAAAACATAATATAAACATATATGTATATCATTTTTTAACAACATTGATTATGTTTTAAATATATCATGATTACGAGATGTACAGGAATATTATAAAACATTCCTAAACACAACTACTATTATTGCATTAAGAAATAGAACATAACTTGCATTCACGCTAAGTGATCTTTGTTTTTTCTTTTTGTCTCTAGCTATATTTACATAATATATTCTCTGCTCATACTAATCGCCATTTTTTGACTTTTCCTGTTACGGCTCATTCATATTCGTCGAGTTTTTCACATCGATCGATATATATGTATATATACACATGAAAAAAAAAAATATATATATATATATTTATATTTATGTAATTAAAAAGTTTGCAATGAGAATTGCTATGACCATTGATTCTTAGATTTCTTCAAATTTTATTAAACTAATTCGCAAACTATTCAATTTGTTTATGAATAAAACATGAAATAAGTTGCTCCTAGTTTTAAACAAAAAAAGAAATTTCAGATTTCTCTGTGTGAGTAATTTTATTGTATTCACATATATATCAATTGCTCACAGATGTGCGATATCATTCATGAAATTAAATCTTCAATTTTAAAAAAGAGTGAAATATTCCTTTCAAATAAAAGAATTTGAAATTAAAAATAAGAGGACACACGATTCACTTTTAGTGCAAACCCTTTGACTCCTTGTAAAGATATTTACATCATTAAATTGATTTGGAACCTTTTTTTTATTCGTCCCAAGCGATCTTGCTATTTAAAGTTTCCTCGTTCTTTACATTTGTTTGCAACTTATCTATTGAAATGTATATAGAGAGACGATACGGATGACCATAAGCATAGTCAAACTTAATGACTCATAAGTCGTTAGTACATATGATTTTCTAGAAATAATATATACATATATTCGTATCGTAGGCCATTGTTAAGCCGACTTTCTCAACGAAAGAATCGAAACAAAAGGAGAAAAAATTTTTGCACACACACACATACACACATATACATACATACAACACCCATGCATATACACACGTTTACGCATGCATGCATGCACTCAGCACTCACGCGCGACCGGTCATCGGATAAGGATTTCGCGCGTTTTGATAGATGCATTCATACACTCAAAGACATTAAGAGAGAAAGAGACTCATATATAGGTACGACTACTAAAGGAAAAAAAAATAATGCGATTATCATCAACAAAAGAAAAAAAAAAGCTACACGTCGAATACATCCTGTCGATGAACGGTTGACTTTAAGCGGAATTATATTTGTTGTGTAAAGTACATGTAATCGATTAGTTAAATGGAAGCTTTTTCACCAATAAAAAGATGATCAGTTAAACATTTACGAAGTGTCCTTCTTCAAGCGTTTCATGTTTTTTAAAACTATAAACAACACAGATTGAAAAAAAAAAAGAGAGAAAAAACAAGAAGGCCCGAAAAACATACGAGATACTCGCGAGAAGCTTCTTACTTCTCGAAATCGATCCATATTGTTGTTTAATATATAATTTTAGAGTAACGTATAGCGATATACATTCGATCTAATTGATAGTGTTTGTTATCTATTAATTAGTAGAATAATAGGGATAAGTATCATTTCTTTTTGAAATATCTTTGTTTCTCATGGAGTGTACTGCAAGCGCAACGAAAACATTGCAGATTTTTCGATTTATCCAGAAATTCTGTATAAACTGATATGACTGCTTGTTTCGAAGCGTAAATATTTTTCTAATTTTTTTTTTCAATTTTATATCTCGTTATTTGGCAGTATCATTTTCTTTTATCTTTTCATGTTCCAAGTTCGTATATAATAAATTTTGTCTATTATATATGACTATATATATGAGATTATTAAAAATTATTTACTTAAAAAACCAGACTCTTTTTATATAAACAATTTAATTATAATAGTGTACTGAAAGAATCTAAGAAGTTAGAGAAAAAAAAATAAGTACTCTACTAACCTGAACAATTAGATAAATGACTGGTATTGTTTATTATAGTACTTCGCAGTTAATTTCTAGTAAAAAAAAATTTATTAATTAAATTTATACAATCTTTTTATACAATTTAAAACACGGTAGCTTTCGGATTAAATTAATTACTAACTTTGATTTTCCTTGAAGTTTTGTAATGTGTGAATTAATTATATTTTACGTTTCACAGGGAAACACTAGCTGAAGAAGAATTTCCGGTTATATTGCCATAGATAGCATGAATTCTATTATGAGATAATTAATACGAAATATATTTGTCCTCCATTCGTATTTACACTACAAATTTTTACATACATATATACACATATACGTAGATACACGTACATAACTATATGCTTTTTGTCGGACAGAAAATTTGCATATAATAAAAAAAAAGTGTTCGTCGTATATTTCGTGAAGTGCAAGATGTATCAAAGAATTTCCGATTACCCTTTAACAATAGCGAGCTTCGTTTAATAAGGTATTTAGATGATTTGTTTACTAATGATTGCCGACGATGATGATAATAATTAACTCTGTAAAAGGACGTTAGGTCCCTCGCTTCGGATAAATAAACTTACAATATTGAATTTATTGTATTATTGTTATATTGCAATAAATATATGTATACAAGATAGTTTACAAAATTACGAACAAAATGTTATTTGTAACTAGCTCGTTTTTTTCATCGGTTGTATGATTAATAAAATGGTCGGTTCATGCGAATATAAAAGTAATATTAACAATATTACATTTCTCGATATTTCCAAAATTGAAAAATTTTTGAATAAACTATTGCATGTGCAGTAGTCTCATTAAGTATTGTAGCTAACTCGAACTTTTGGTGGAGTTTAATTTTCAAATTTGTGATAATAAGCATCTAAAGAAATGTGCGTATATATTGGATTACAATGTATGTGTATAATTGAATTATAATAATTTATTTTTGCATTTGATATTCTATTTTATTTAAAATAATTTCTAAATTTACAGTTAAAGAATGTTCATGGATTATCAATGAGACATTATTAATTCGTTGCTTCTTCACAAGCATGTCATTAAAAACATACTAAAATTTCATGTAATTTATTATAAATACAAAATTTATTGTGATAAACTTATATAAATGCAATGATATAACTTTTGTTCATCATAATAACATTTAATAAAACCTTGTTCATAAAAATTTATGAAAATATAAGTAAAATTGCTTTCTTAGGTCTTTAAAAATTTTTAACAGCTGTACATTTCATAGTTAAGTATGCGAATACATAGTAGTACATACATAAAGTGCGCATTAACAAGGTTTTATTACATATATATTATTATTATTCTAACAAGGGAAGTAATTATATGTTACTATTATGGAAGGAAATTTTAATTAAGATCAAATTAAATTTAAGATAACAACAAACTTCTATATACGTCAAGAAACATCCTTTACTATATAACTTGATACATTTGTTAATTTCTTTTAAAAACATGATACAATCAATTATTATAAATCATTAAAAATGTGATTTAAAAGCTATCTTCTATTTATGCTTTGAATTATTGATATACACCTTTTGGTCTTTGTTACAAAATATTATAAATTATATCATATTCTATCTTTACGTTTAACCTTGCTTCTTTTAAATCGACATTTATATATATAGTAATATATGATATATACTAGAAATTGTATAGAATTGAAATGTTTATTAACAAAAGTTACAGAAAGATATAATAGGCAAATTTTAAAAGAATATTTCAATCGAAGAAGTACAGATTTCTAAATTAAATGTCTGCCTTTTACATATTTCATATGAAATATTTTTTATTATATCTGTGGCTTTTTAACATTATATTATTCGGGAAAAAGTATCAAGTGATTCTTGTGAAACTAAATCTTCTTCAATATTTGAAATAAAAACTTTTGTAAAATAGAATAATTGTCAAACGAATCATTTCTTCACGAAATTATTATACTTTAAATGTCTATTTATAATATATTACAATATTTACCATCTCAAACCATTTATAAAATTTAATCTATTCTTTGATTTAAATTTTTTAAATTTTCATAACTATATTTCACTCAAGCGCCGATTTCATGTCTAAAATTATAATACAAATCATTATTCTAGTATCCTATCTATCGTGCTACTGTCAAAAAAAAAAAAAAAAGGAAAAAAAAATAAAACACCTTTTACAGAATTGACCTGAGATCAGAATTAATGAAAATTATAGTTCATTCGGTGAAATCATCACAAAATTATTAAAAAATGCAGCACTTTTTTTATATTACATTCAGAGTAGTAGCAATATTTTCTTTTCCTCATAAAAAGTGCAATTGTATTTTTAATTAACCATGATCATAATAATAAATAGAAAATATATGAAAGAATACACATCGTAATAGTAAGAAAAATTTACACAATTCAATTAAGAGACATGACATGAATTTTAATAATTTAAACTTTTCTTCTTCACGTAGAGAGGTATAAACGATGATAATCATTAGCTCCAAAAGCACAATTACATTTTGGACATTTTCGTTGCCTAGTCTCATATCGTGTACGTAAGCAATCCCAACAAAATACATGAAAACATTTTGTTAGAACCGCATCTTTGCGCTTAACTTTACAAGAAGGACATGTAAGTGTTTCTTTATATTCTCGAAGTTCTTCTGCCATTACTTCATCCAATGTTTCAGCAAGTTCTATTTTCTTCATTCTTTCAACTTTACGTCTCAATTGAGCTATTTCTTCCTACAATGAAATAGCAATAATTTAAATAAAATAATTTTGTTTGTAAAATTTCCTACAAAATATGCTATTTAACACGTTAATATTACCTGTAATCTTTTTGTTTTATACGCTTCTGCTTCCAAAGAACTAGTTTTCTCAGCTACAACTTGTTGTGCTTCTTTCATTTGAGAATGGTATTTTTCTGAACAGAATAAAATTAAAAATATATAAAAAATATCTACATAAAATAATTAGAAATTAAATATATTTCTTACCAAGATGAAGTTTTAAATCAGCTGCAGACTGAGCACTTTCAATAGCTTTCCTTTTATGCATTTCCATTGCCTGTTGCCTCAAAGCCAGTTCTTTCTCGACAGTAGCAAGAGAATTTTGTAAAAGACGTTCTTTCTCTTCTAATTTACGAACAACGACATTGGCAGCTTCGACTTGCGTTGTTAAGGTAGAAACTTGCTCTTTTAAAACGTCTTTCTCTTCCCTAGCTAATTTATGCAATTGATTACTTTTAATTCTTTCCGTCATAAGTTTAAAATTCGCGTCATCTTTTTCACGTAATTGTTGAATTAGTCTGGAATTTTGTTCTTGCATATCTTCAAAAGCTTGGCCGGTTACTTCCATTTCATTCAAAAGAGCCTCCTCTTCCTGAAACCACACACAATTCTGTTTAGCATTACCGATAGTTCAATAGTTTTAAATAAAATTCGAGTTTTATAGAATTTATCAAATATATAAAGTTACCTGCTTTTGAGAAGCAACTTGACGCTGAAGAGTATATGCTTGTTCTTCTAATTTTTTAATCTTTATTTGTGCATCTTCATCTGCCAATTTTTTGCGCTCTTCTCTCTTGCTTTCCTAAATAAAATATAGACTTATTGATAAAATTAAAGAAAAAAAAAACGAAAAATTTTCAATTAAAAATCAAAAGCTGCACAAATACCTGAATTTTCTTTATTTGTTGACGTAATTCATCTAATTCCGCTCTCGTTTTTCTTTCAGCTGCCATTAGTTGCACTTTATCTCTTTGTTCTTTTCCAACACCTTTGTACATGTCCAATAATAATTTCATTTCTTTCATTTCATTCACAGCCTTTCTGTAATTAGAACGACCAAGTGCAAATAACGAATAAATATAAATTATGATACTGGATAATGAGACGAATCAAGACATACTTAAGTTGTGCTTTCAGATCTCTAACAAGTTCTGATTCCGCTACCTTCGTGTCTTTGGCACGATGTGCAGGATCGCGATGTTCAGTTTTAATAGTTTCTTTCTTTGTATCTTTTTCACGTTTATTATCTTTTTCTTTCTTTAAAGTTGGCGATGTTAATGTCAAAGAATCTGGAGTTCCTTTATTTCCTTCTCCCTCTCCAACTTCAATAGTTTCTACTTCTTCTTCTCCAGATTCTCTTTTCATTGAGACTCCACTCTCTTCCTTTATCTATATTAAACATTAACATAAAAGTTATCTACTATTTGAAAAAGTCTTACAATACACTTTGGAAATACAAATTTATTCAAACCTGTGTAGAACCTGGAAGAGAATTCGATGCATCTTCTTCTTTTCCGCTGCCATCCGAATTATTGCCTTCTTTGTTTTCCTGAGACGTTTGTTGGCCTAATTTTGTTGTCAATTCTTCGATTTCTTTCTTCAGCTATAGTAAATCAAATATTAACTGTAAATACTTTCACATTGTCGATATATTTTTCTCAAATAATTTAATAACATACGCACTTTCGGTATTTCCGATGAAGCTTCTTTGTATTTTCGTTTATAACGATGGACTTCGCCTTTAAGTTGTTGATTATGATTTTGCAAAGATGTAATCAAATGTCTCATTTCTCGATTTATCGGCCCTGTTTGTTCGTTTGCCGCTAAATTTTGTTCAAATTCGATTCTTAACATTTCATACTCCTTTCGTAATTGAGCTAAAACGTCTTCCAGTTGTATGCATTCTCCGCGTAGTTTCTTCTGTGCCATGAGTTCTTCGCTCTAAAGACGTTAATAAATTTATATAATTTTATAATAAAAAAAAGAAAAAAAAAACAGTAAAATACACTTGCCTCCATCATTTCAATATGTCGTAAATGAGCATTTTTACTGGATTGCAATTGCTGACGAGCATCGTCTAATTGAGTTTTCAATTGCATCGATTCATTGTATAGTACAGAAAATTGTGACTGTAAACATTTGTATTCGGTCGTCTCAACGATTACCGATTCTGGAAGTTGTCGTATCTGTAAATATAAAATACTTTTCAAAGTAAAACCAATATTTAAACATAATATCAAGTAGCCTTCCATCCAATTCTTTTTATATGTATTTTATTTAAATGTAAATAGAAGTAAAACACAAGACAAATCGGCAAAAGCAAGTACAACATGAATATTTATTGCATAAGACATTAATTTACATTCTATACTGGTCACCATAAACATATGTACAAAAACCAAAGAACTCACATCCATTTTTAATTTTTCTACTTCTTTCAATGCATCGCGATGCTGTTGATGCAGTTTATCTAGTTCTTGTAGTCTGTTATTAGCTAACTCTCTGGTTTCTTCCAATTCCCTTTGTAAATCTTCAAGCTATAACAATAATACAAAACGAATATTAAATAACTTGATTTTAGATAAATAGAAGTCAGTATATGGCAAAATATTATACCTTTGTTTGTGACACACTCGAAGCAACTAGAGTATTTGGTTTATTACTTCCTTTTTCATCTGTACCATGTATTTGTTGAAACGCTTTTAGTTTCTCAATTGCTTCTCCAAGATGATGTTCTAATTTATCATTACGTGCTCTCACTTTATTCAATTCGTATTGAAGATCGTCCACTTGGTTACGCAGCTCCGCAGCAAGTGTATCTTTTCCTGTAATGGTATCCTGTAGTTCTGACATCTGTAAGAAAATATATATTTATTATGCGTAATTAAAAATATAATTTATCAATATAATTAAAAGTTCAATTTACTTTTAATGAAATAGTGTGGTATTTTTCATGGAGCTGTATATTTATTGCTTGAAGATTCCTATTTTCCATTTGTATTTCAGCATTTGCTCTACGCACAACTTCGTCAATATTGGGTGCTTCTTCTAAAGTATAATAAGATTGTCATTTTTTGTTATATTATATTCTTTTTGATGTCTTGAAATTAAGTATTGAAAGTACCTCCATCAAATTCTCCTTTAAGTGCAAGGGTAATTTTTTCATTTCTCTGAGAAAGACGGTCAAATGCCTGTACAACTTTAGAAACTGCACGCTTAGAGACTTGAACACGATTTGCTAGCTTATCATCTAATTCTTCTTTGTCCCATGAAGAAAGTTGCATAAGAAACGACGTTGTAGCTTCACTTTCATCTGTAATTACATATTAAAACATTTACTACAAGCTACAAATGTCTAAATATTTAATAAATCAATATATTATCGCTGTTTACTTTTATTTTCAGATTCATCAGCAGTTTCAGCATCAAATCTTTGAAGTAATACACGTATATCTTCATTCAGTTGATTCCAATAACGATTGACAACGTTAAGCACTGCATCATCTTGCATTTGCCGTTTTTCCAACTGTTCAATTCGTTGCCTTAATTCAGCTTCTACTCTGTGACGTTGCTCCAATCTCTATACGATTAAAGCAGCATAGTATAAAAGAATTTGTGTTTTGTACTTAAAGGATATTAAAAAAAGTGAAGTCAATTTTAATTAGTAAATAACAATAGGATGTTAAAATATCATAAGATGTTTGAATAAATATGATATACTGTTTTTGTTACAAGATACCAGATATATTAAGAATATAGCAAAACTAGATCATAATCTTATGTAATAAATTAATATTTACATCATTAACGAAAGCTTCTCATAGTACATTTTTAAGAAATAATTACAAAGTAACATATAATATTAGTTCTAAAAAAATATATTTCATTAATTACGAATAAATTACTAGATCAAAATGCGACAATTTGTAGGTAATATTTTTTCCTCAAGATTGAAAATTGTTAAATGTTCCTATATGTTTTAACTACTAACCTGAGCCAATTTTTTATTTTGAAACTGTAAAACTTTCATGTCCATTTCTTCAAGGGTTGAAATAGAACCGATAAAAATCGGTTCGAATTGAACTTTCTTAATAGGTGGTTGGGAACCCGAATCCCCGCCATCCGCAGCTCGCTTTGACATTTTACTGCGAGCGTTTTCCTCTTTCTGAAAAGCCAAATATGAAAAGTGTATTTTCAAACGAATGAAGCAAATACTTCGTAACTGATTTATCACTCACAGTTTCTGATAATTTTGTTATCGATCAAAAGTAATCCTTACCTCGGTGTAACGTATACTAACACATCCAGCGATCCTCTCCGCAAATACAGTTCCAATGTTACTATGTCATCTTTAGACGTCTGAAACCTGTCGAAAAAGCCGGTCTTTCGACAGATCTTTACATTTTAATGAAAACGGTCGACAAAAAGTACGTGCTTATAACGGAAGGCGCCATTGTATCACGGCGTTGCATACGCGGCAGATCAAAAAATAAGGTAAAAACATCGACATTCTCTGTGACTATACAATTCAACTAGATGAGTATCATCGACTTAAACGGTACCATAGATTCATCTGGTGTAAAGTGAAGGAACTAAGAGGATAGATAATATTTTATTAGCAAATTTTAAATGCAAATTAATATGCATTTGATATTTTTATGAAAACGATTGAAAAATTATAACAAAATTTATTTCGTCTACTTCGAATATTACGTACATGTTGTTTCATATCTAGTTGTAACCTAAATTATAGTTTATAATTATCTTAAATGTATTCATTCAAACATTTCAATATCAAACTATTTAAAGTACGGAATAAATGATAATTTGTTTTTGATAAAAATATACGTATAGAGTTCTCAAATCAATTTGAATTTAGTAAGTTTCTCCATTTTGTCATTAGATGTCAGCTACTTTGAGATCCTATCAATTTCTATCATATCAACTGTGAAATAGTGTAAATTCATTGGTAAATTCACAAACGAAAAATTAATCGTAATGTAATGTATTTTACGAGTTAATACGCACAAGAGCTAATTTTCTATTTAAACCATTTTTTCTTTTTCAATCCCTTCAGAAATAATATACTTAATTATTAATATAAAATATATGATTAATTTTCTCAAAGGTAATACTTGGTATATAATTTCCTCACTGCAAATGGATTAAAATAAACCAATTCTTCATAGGTTAAACGTTTCTATAGAAACCGTCTTTCCACTGATTCATTCATATATAGATCAAACTACCACTTTGAAAGAGTACACTGTCCCTTCAAAAGTACAACAGTATTTTTCAAATTTGAAAGATAAAATGCTGAACAATCGCGCGCTTGAAATAGTTCCTCCACCTCCGCTAAAATTTACTTTGCATCAATGGCATCTAAATAATCGTCACAGGTATGAGTTTTCAATTTTAATTTCGTAAATTCAAACTTGCACAGTTTACATTCGTACGATACTCCATTAAAATATTAAACGTTTGTAAATTAGAGAAACTATAACCAACAACTTATCAATAAAAAGATTATATAATATTATCATATCAATTGTAATTATAAAATTAAAAATAATTATATTTAAAAATGATTTGTAAGATATTATTAATTAGGTATCGATGTTCGGAGGCTCAGCAGGAACTAGCAGATCGTCTACTTAACGAATCTCAGCGTATTTGCGAATTAAGTTCTGAGAGAGTACGAAACAATAAAGAAGAAACAGACCACAGATTAAAAGAAAAAATCGAGGATATCGAATTTCGTAAGAAAGAACTGCTGCGTATAAGAAAGGAAGTTCTCCTTGAAATCGATGCTCTATCGATATACAAGGAGCGTATCATGGATGCTTTATCATCCGTGCGGAAAAATGCTCTTATCATTTGCGAGAAATGCCTCAGTTTTAGGTTTGATGTACAAAATAAAAAAGAAAGCCGTGACAATGGTGTATGGTGTTAATTTTTTTACAGAAATGCCTATTAAATCGTATTATTATTTCAATTACAGAGAGCATAGATTAGGAATTGATTTAGTCCATGATGACGTTGAAAAAGAATTATTTAAAGAGTGTGAAGTAATCAAAGGTGTCGAAAATTTGCTAGTTCGGACTTTAGAACAAACTCAGGAGCAAATACGTCGTCTTAAAGCGACGCTGTATTACATGGATCATGAACTCGAGGATAAAGAAAATAATTTACGTATCGACAAGTACAATTTAACTTTGAAGGAAACCAGTTTAAATTTAAGTACCTATCACGGTACTTCACACCTTGATCCATCGTTGGTATCATTTTTGCTGTTTTTCTTACTTCCAATGCTTTTTCCTAAATCCAATTTCTAAAAATTTATTTTTGTACATTAAGAATTATAGAGTTGAACGAATGGGAAATGCAAACTAACAACAATATTATTAATGCTTCGAAAGAGGTGAATAGCGCTATACCATTGCGCTGTTATATCGATACCATTATAAAACAAGCGATCGATGATTTAAATGACCAGAAAAATGCTACCGACGAGGCTTTCAGACGACGCATCGAGGAAACGAAAGAAGCAAAAATTAAATTAGAATTGCAACACGCCGAGGTGCATGGAATAACTTTTAATTTAAAAAATATAAATTAACATTTAATTTATAAATTAATTTAAAAATAATTATTAAAAATAATTATTAACATCGTACAGAGCATTCCAAGTTTTAACTCTGTTACATAAACATTTGAAGTTTTATTAAAAAGTTATAAAAAAAATATATGAAATACAAAAAAGAATACCAATGAATTGGTGATTACTATAAAACGTTCAGCTGTTAACGACTGAAAAACAATCTGTGCATTATGTAATTTCTATTTGAATATTGATTCATGCTAATTTAAACGCAGATTGTTGAATTTATTAAAATAGTCGTAACATAACGAACAAAATTAATAAAAGATTATAATATATACAAATATATATGATAGATAATGCGACAAGCTGCAGAAATGAAGGACAATATTACGCGCATAGAGAAATCAATTGCAGAAAAGGAAAATTTTTTGGCTTTGGCGCATACAAGACTCGGCAATCGTTGTCAAAGACCAGGATTAGAGCTTACACGAGATCTAGTGGAAACTAATCTTGTAAAGGAAGTATGTGATTTACGCGAAATCGTATCGAAACTGCAAGCAACTATGTTCGAGGTTTATGTTTTACACATTTCATACAAGTTACTGTTTCATTGTTTGATTAATTTATCATCAATAATAATACACATTGCTTCAGGCTCAGGCATCATTACGTTATTTACTCAAAACACAAATTCAGATGGAAGAAGATATCAACGTTAAAACAAACACGTTAAAAATCGATGAAGTTGACTGCATGACTCTTCGTCAAAGCCTGGATTATCACGCATATTGAATTAATTCTATTAAAATTTTTAAAACATAGAAAATAGTGCTCATCCTTATAAATGCACTGCGGATTTTTATACATTTATAAAAAATTTTTAAAATACAAAAATAGGATACATGCAATTATATACAAAATGCATACAAAAATATGAACAATTTTCTACATGATACATTCTATTTTTTAAATTCTATTCATAAAATTAATTTGCACGAATGTTTGCAGAAAGTTTTAAATTAGATATATCGCAAAAAATATTATTCTTAATTAAATTGTATCTAAAATTATGTTGTGCAAATTTGCGATAGATAAGTAATAATGCATATCATAGATATCATATCTTTTATTGATAGATTGCGAATCTAGTAAATTGCGAGAAAAATTCATGCTTTTATAGATATAATTAAAAAGGTGGAATCTAATAAAATAAATATTTGCAGTCTGTTTGTTAATCTATAGGTCATGTATTTCAATAAAGAGTTATTATTGAAAATTCTTGTTTTGGTTTGAAAAAGAATATTCTCATTGGTTGATACAACTAGTGCAATACCAACTGGCTAACTATTGTCATTCCTGTTGTGGTAGTATTTTATCTAGAAACAGTGAATTTTCCTCCCCGTCCTCGTCTCTTTGCAAAAGTGTCAATTTGAGTGTTCGTGAAAAAGTTCCGACTTTGATTCTGACGTTGAGCCAGTCTAATGGCAGATACACGTTGGGAATGTGTTCCGTTCAATTTTATAATATTATTTTATAGAAGCGTAGAAGATTCTGTTTAATCGTTCGTTGTAAGAGAAAACTAGAAAAAATGGCAAGTGATGCAATAATTGTATTACCTGGAGAGATAATTGTGTACATTTTGGAAGATAAACAACTCAGCCTTGCGGATGTCGTTCATTTCGGTTTGGCTTGCAAAAATCTATATAAAATTGTCAATGGAAGTAATAAACTTTGGAAAACAAAATTTTTTCAAAGGTATATCAATCGCTATCTTAAACCTTAATAAATTATTGTTAAAATAAGGAATCATATGTATTGTACATTCGCCGTTTACTTTGAATGGTTATGATTGTTTTATTTACTTTGATCATTTAAATGTTTGAAATTTACAGTAGATTTACAAATGAATTCTTTTTATACTACGTGAAACGTAAATTGCTATTTTAGAGTTTGAGATATAAATTTCAATTTATATACTATATATGTTTTGTTTATAAATACTATGAATAGAGAATATCCCCCAAAATACTATGTTATTTGATCGTTATGCTACATTTTCACAACTATTTCTATTTAGAATATTCAATATCATTTTTATTATTGTTATTATTTTTTTTTCGTGCAACGATAGATGGCCACTTTTGAAAGAAATATATGAAACAAATAAGAAACTAGAGCATCGAATGATAAATTGGAAAGAAGAAATGAAAATTAGTCTTACTACCAGAACAACGTTGCTTTGTCATTTATTTTCTATGTCTAGTAAACATCACAGGAAGCAAGAGTTACCTAATTCAGAATTTAAAGACTTAGACCCTTTGTTTTGTCCAAAAGAAAGTGCTCATCCTTTAGCTTATTATTTTCTGTTAGATGAACTTGATAGCTTAATTAAACATCCTGCTACGTAAGTATATTATAGTAAAATATTTTATTTTAGAACTTTAGACTGATATTATAAACTTTAGAATGATATTATAAATTCTTTCAGCAATTTAACACATAAATATTATGCTCTCAAAATTATTCGATATTTAAAACAAACCCATTTGAAGGATGAATGGCAAAAATTTATTTCTCTACCACCAAAACAACAGACCTTGGAACGTGGTGCAACTTTTGTAGCTCAATGGAGTCAACCAGAAAAAAATGTGTCATATCTTGCAATATCATCGATATTAGATAATATTGCAGAACAAACTAAAGAATTGCTGAGAGAACAATATCCAAGTCATTCTATATTTTCAGTTCCAAATGAGAGATTTAATTTTTGGAAAAATAATATTATCGATGACAATGAGTGGAATGTTACAGAGACAAGACAAATAACAGATGCATTATGCGAAGTATTATTTGAAAAGTTAAAATTCTATGGAAATAGTAAAATGTATTATTGGTTGGAAAAATCATTTATAGACCATGTAAGTTGTGAATAAAAAAAATTTCATATCACAAGGTAGATTTCTAATATTTATAATTTTTTCATTAGGTTTTAGAATCTAGATCTGGAATTCCTATAACTTTAGCGATAGTATTTGAAAGTGTAGCTCGAAGACTTGGTGTACACTGTGAACCTGTTAATTTTCCATCTCATTTCTTATTACGATGGAAGGAAAGATAGTAAGTTTCTAATTGATGTCAGTACGATTAATAATTTATTCACTATATATATTAGAAATTTGCACGAAATATATGAATTTTTTATAATTTTAGTGTAATAATTATTTAATTTTAAGTTTCATTTTATTGGATATTACTACATATTTTATTTTAGTGGACCAGGATTTAAGGATACAGAAAATTTCTATATCGATGTCTTCAATCACGGTCAATTTATAACTAAGGAAAATTGTCCTAGAATTGGTGGTATTTCAAGATGTCCAATAGAAAAATATAATGTTCATGAAGCAGCAACTGCGACAGAGGTTTATAATTTTGTTTTGAACTAAAAATCTTTGTTTTTTGTTATTTCTTGAATGAATAATATACTAACATTGTTTTATAGGTAGTAACAAGAATAGCAAACAATTTAGAAATAGCTGCTAGGCAGCATACTCATATAAATGGTAGGACTGCAAGATTACGTTCCGTTCTTGAACTCCGATATATGATACAACCTGATGCGAACATAATTTTACAATTAGGTCGAATATATATTTCACAATATATGGATTTAACTGAACTAGTGAAAATATTAGAAAATATGCAGCAGGTATTTCATGAAATCGATGTGTCATAAAAAATTAAATTTACATTTTCATTTTACAAAATTATCGAAATTTTTAGGATTTAGAGTTGATATCAAGAGGACAAGCGAATATCATATTGCAAACGTTTCAAACGCTCCAAAGATGTCAGAAGAAGTTACAGCCTGAGGTTAGATTCACAATAATATTTATAAAAATTTTTAAATAACAATTTATTGAAAAAATTTATAATTTACATGTATTTTATCTAGGAAGAAGTAAAACCAAAGAGGAGAGTTCCAAGCGTAAAATATGCGATAGGATTGATCATGACACATAGAATGCATGGATACTTCTGTGTAATAACAGGATGGGATCCACGTTGTATGGCATCGACAGAATGGATGAATGAAATGAACGTAGATGAATTAGATCAGGGTGCAAATCAACCATTTTATAATATATTTGTAGATGATGGGTCCTGTCATTATGTGGCACAAGGTAATATATTATTTATTACCGATATATAAGTAAGATATTATTTATTACTGACATATATATTTGTATACTGACATATACATTGTTATATTATTAGAAAATTTGGTATTATCTCCTAATTCACAAGGCATAAATCATCACGCGATTGGTAGGTACTTCTACAAGTTTAGCGGTGCTCATTATATACCGAACGAAGAAAAAGCAAGAGAATATCCAGAAGATGAAAGATTTTGCAACGAATTACTTGTTACGTATATGCAAAATAGAATGGCATATAATACTACTTAACCATTTATGTTCTTTAGTTCGAATACAAGATGATAGTAAGACAAAACAATTATTTTTTCCTTAGTGTATATCTAGCACATCATATTAAAAAAAGTCATATTTTCATAAAAAGAAATTTAAATGAAAAAAAACAATAATATTTTATTTGCCATGCCATTCACTATTGAATTTCATTACTTTAAATAATTTTTAATAAATTTCTAAATACTTATTGTAAATAGAGAAATGCAAAAAACAGTTAGGTCTACATATATATGTAAAAGTTCATTTAAGATTTGTACAAACTACTATGTATTTTATTCACTATTATATATATACTATTGACAGATCAGATAACGTTTATTACAAACGTAACGATGATATATAAGCATTCTGAAACATAGAATTACTTCTGACTCTTAATCTCGTTCAGATGTGATATAAATGTGTACGAATGTATTCGTTGTTTCGTGTAACAAGAATAAGAAGTAATTCATGTTTTAACGATATTAAACGCAAATGTAACAAACGTTAAAACCTGAACTTCAAACATTACTTGTATTTTTTATAAAGTATATAAATTTTTACATTTGAACGCAATGTAACTCGTTTAAATTAATTTATGTACTTACAGTAAGATTCAAGTATGTAATAGGTAAAATAACAAAGAATATGTATTTAGTTATACTCTTTATTTTATTTTACTGTCACGGGCTGTGCTCGCTTTATGTATATTCACAAGCAATCACATAAAAATACAAAATTTGTTCTCGCAATACTTGTAAAACCATAACCATCTGCAGAAATAAACGTATCGAGTATTTTTATACAACATAATATATTAATATTGATATTCGAGTCTAAGTTTACTTAAATTCGAATATATTTTATATACATAATATACCTTTTTATATATACTTTTTAAGTTGAAAAAAATTGGTTGTACATTACTAGTAATCCGAGTAAAATTTAAAGAAATTATCTCAAAGGGAGTACTGAATTATATACCATTACATAATCGTAATTGCAATATTTTACATTTTTTAATACAGTACCTGCTGCAAAACAGTAATTTTAGTAAAGTATTATTTACCATGTCAAAACATTGGAACATTAGGTTTCCAATTCTTACCGTTCTTACTATTTTTTTTTTCATCACTTTTAATAATATTAATTAACATTACATTTAGATAAATAAAAAAAATCACAGAACATTCGTAACATTAAATGACGGATGCAATTGAGAATGAATTCACGAGTTAGTTTCTTCCAACGATCTGCAATGATAATAATGTAATTTTATACTTTTAAATATCTTACATGTATAAAATTATGAAGTATAAGTAATATATCAATAACAAAATAGAAAACTGTATTTACTTTTCCGCGGTGCATTTGTTGGAAGTATCGGAAGATGCTTGCACGGTACCCTCTAAAACATTCTTCTGACCTAAAGCAAAATCATTTTAATTATGCGATATTTATTGTAAAAATAAATGTACTTGCCGTGTTTATGTTGATATAACACTGGTGCCCAGCTGTAACTATTGGGACTTGGTATAGCATCCGTAGTTGCATTGCTCGTGGATGATAATGGAACATCGTGTACCAATGAAAGTGTGGTAGATTTAATAGCGGCAGTGGCACAACCATTGGATTTTCCGTTTAATGGAATATTTTTCCTACGAATGGTTTAAAGACATTGAAAATGCATTTTTTAAAATACAATTTTTTTTAGTAATTAGAAATAATCGATACCTTAATTTATTGAAACAATTGGCAGTGTCCTTTTGAAATATCGGAGACAATTGAATAGTCTCCAGCAATTGTTCGAATTCGAATAGTTTATTCTCGTTATTTATAATACTAACGTTAGTGGACGATGACGGTGAAGATTGTCGTCGCGATAATAAATGCTTCGATACAATTTTATTGCTATCTAATACTACTGAAAAAGTATACACTTCACATGATTGTATATGTATACACTGAAAGAAGCTGAATATAAATTTTGTAATATATTATACTTACCATTTGGCACTATTAAGTCAGATCTGGATGTTTCTACCTCGTGATTAATTTTATTAACCATAGATATCTTTGGAAGTTCTTTCTCACAGTCTATCGAATTTGAGCGAGTCGCGGGTTCAGATCGTGTCTGGCTTCCGCAAGCAATTAATCCAGAAACTTCTTGCCGACAGATATTAGATAATTGATTTAATTTTGGTCTATCGTTACATATTATTCGAGGCTGGCAAACATGCGAAGGGCATGTAGAACGTTTGTCGGCAAATTGTTCGTTACACGTTGAGTCGTGTTCCGGTTGCAAAGGATTGGAATTACGACGTTGTAAAGTTGTTAAAGTCGTCCTTGAATCACAAGTATCATCTACGCGTTGATCAAAGCACAGTGAAGTCCAAGCAGAATTTCGATCTTGCATTTTGAATAAATGTAACATAATCTCATCTTCCAAACTATCATTGCCTGCTAATCTATAACAACAAATTTTATCGTTAAAAGTTATCTTCTAAAGCATAATTATAGTTATTCTCAACTGTCAATACAACGTACCTCCGAATATCATCTGTATCTTCTCGATTACTCTGTTGTTTCGTACGTTGCTTATTCCGAATCCATGGTGACAATGATTCTGCAACTTCTATATCGTTTTCTCCTGTGAACATAATCACATTGAAAATATATTTTTATTGATATATAAATATACCGAAGCGTACGTAATTATGTATCGCGACTGATAGGAAATATTAAATTTATAATTTATAACGATCATTTCGAACGAACTATAAATTAAGATCAAGTTTCTGTAACTCGAACCATTATTATATACATATACAGGAATATTTATTTTCTCGTTATAAAATGAAATGTAAAAGGACAGCGACAGAGAATTTTTTACGATACTGCTTGAAAGCGATTAGGAGCACGAGAGGTAGGATTTTCTTTCATAAAATCTTCATCTGGTTTCTCATTTGTGGGTTTTTCACTTTCAACATCTTTATCTAATTTGCTTTCTCGCCTGTGTCTCTGCACATCGTCTACAGAACCTCTGTTCGAACTTGTACCTATTCAGCACATTACTACGTTATATTGTGATTTTAGACGACAAAGTAGTACGAGAGAAATTAAGCTTGCTCGAATAATCTGATATAGCAAATCAGTGTATACCGTACAATCAATGTATCCTAACGTATACCTGACATTGTTTCATCGTCTACATCATTTTCGTCATTAGAGTTGTCATCCAGAAGAGTTAGATGTGGTTCGTTATGTTCGCATTCGTCTAAATATATATCGTGTTCGCTTAATTCCTATAACAAATATAAATTGTTACTTCAAATAATACCTAAATTCAATAGAAATTAAATAATATAGTTAAAAAATTCATTTATACTCATAGTTCAAATATCTTACTCCACTATCACTGCTACTGCTACTAGACAGAAGATTTAGTTGTTGTTGATTAAGTACTGTCGGCGAAGAATATGAGGGAGGGGGAGAGTGAGTATTCGTAGCTGGGCAATCTCCTACAGAACTATCATTTGTACTATGTATACCGGGCAGTTCAGCTTCAACGACGCTTAGATTGATTCTATGTTGTTTCAAGCTTGTTTTGGACGAAATAGAAGATAACGTTGAAGAAGAACCAAGAGGACGCATATTCGAAGGTTCTCCTAATTCACACATTGGAATTAATTGATCCGACAAAACACCACTATTACTTCCACCAGGAAGAACATTTTGTACCGATCTGTTACACAAACGAGAAAAAATTGTTCTTGAAAAATGTCATTATTCGTGAGTTTTTGAAAATATTAATTTAAAGAAAAAAGTTCGTTTACCTCGTAGATGTGCCATTCTGATATGTTTCAGCCGAACGCGTAGAATTGGTATTAAGTAATGGATCACCAGCAGCTTGCGATTGTTGCATCATCATGCATGTTACATTTGACGTTGATCCACATAATGTTGCACCACTAGGTACTCTGGTTGCAGCCATAGCATTCCGGGATATCTCAATTGCCAATCTCTGCACAAAGACGCATGTAACGAGGTACGCACGAACATATAACTGAATATTTCAAATCTGTATAGTACCTCTTTTAATTCGTTAATTTGAGTGGCATATTGATTCTGGACTGTAAGTAATTGACTGATATACCACTGCTGATCTCTGCAACGCTGATAGAACGTTGGCGGACGTACTTGAAATCTGTTCATTCGTTTCTATATTATAATTATACAGTACAGCGATGAAAAAGAAACAATGCATATTTAACATACCGCAATATAAGAGTATCCAATTCGGTATTTAAATATCCTTCAGTCGCGAGCAAATCTAATCTGAAAAATCTATTGTAACCCCAGCATTCGCCAATTTCGAAATCAGAAGCAAATTCTCGAACGATGTTTTTACTTGTATCGCGAGATCCCTGATGAATCATTTCAACTCGATATTCGTACCTGAAAAAATGATTTTTAACTAAAATGTAATTGAAAATGAGATTATTTTTACGTACTTCGATGTTTCTGGTAAACCCGCGCTTAGTTCTAGAAAAACAGATAAATAATTTCCGCGTACAACACCGTTTCCATCGGGATACACTTTTAATCTCCAGCATAATCCGTTAACGTGCAACGGTGCAGAATATACCGGATCCGCTTTTAATTGCAATTGCGTAAAATTTTGCATCGCGAACGTAGCGCTGTCATAGCCTGGAACGATTTCGCTGAAATAACAGATTATTATCAGAGATTGATATTTTTCGAATGTTAATTTCATATTGCGTAAAATCATAAAGAATCAATATTAAACCTGTGAAAATCTGCTGGAACAGGAGCAGTAACGAAACTCGTCATCGGTTTCTTTCGTACTTGATGTATCATTCGCGAAATATCTGCACTTTTGATTATAAGTTCGGAACGAGTACAAGCGTGCAATTGATGTTCCACTTCTTGCAACAAAGCCTCCAGTTGTTCCGTCTCTAGCGTCAAAGAATTTTTTTGACCCATCAACGTTAACAATTTAGCTTTTAACTGAGAATCTAAACGCGCTATCATCAATTCAACCGCGTTTCTAATTTCTCTGACTCTTTCATCTTTCGCAGCTCTCACAGATTCAACATTTCGTTCCTGACAAAAAATCAAATATAAAAACATTTTGGTTTTACAATACTCAAAATATTAATCGAGAGTTACACGTACCACTTCTTGAACAAGACTTATCAACTCGACTAATCTTCTTTTTAATTGACCTATTTCTGCTTTTATTTGCGTAACATGTTGTTCATAAACTTCTTCCAACGGTTTAAAAGTATGTCCCGAATGTGTGCCACCCCAAAGAGCACATTGATGACATATGCATCTACGACAAGTCCAACAATAAACAGACAACTTCTCACAGTGCATACTACACCTGTTTAAAAAAAAAACACGTGGAAGTTACAAACAAATTACTAATAAATTATAAGCTTAAAATTATAAATACCTATCTCTATTGGAATCATCATGCCTGGAATTTGAAATACCAACAGCCTGAAGTGTATCCAGTTGTTGCGTTACTTCTTCAACCCATCTACAATTGACTAATTCGTGTAAAAGTAAAGAAGCTCTGCAATGAGGACATTGCGAACGTTGTTCCGTCAACCACCTCCTTATACACGTATAACAACACAATTTACTGCAGTGGGGACAAAGATGTGCATCTGTCAATTTTTCCATACAAATGAAACATCTGAAGACTTCTGCCAATGTCTAAAATATAAATTCAAATCTAAACCTAATTGCAATGATGTAATTTTTAATATAATAGATATATGGAGAAGCCAACAATTGTAAATCATTCCTCGCTAAAAATAATTTATGCTATATAAATATTCTTTCATTGTCAAAATTGTTAGTTGGTTTGGTCATTATGATATAATCGTTAGAGTATTATAATTAAACTGTCTCATCGACTAAAGGATTGACAAAAATTTGACAATAAAAGAATGTTTGCACGACACAAGTCTTTTCTAATAGAAAATTAGCTACTGAATTCTCCACGTATAACAATTATCATACATCTAAAATTTGCAGGTATATAAGAATGACCTGTTTTAAGTATATAAATTAAAATATAAAATATAAAATCCTCGTGAATTAAAATATCATTTTATTGCTCTTGTAATATTATTAGATGAATGATAGGATAATAAAAACGTATTTACGGTGCATATTGTTAAAAACAGTTATGAAAATTTGCAGCATTATGTTATAAATTTACGAACCTCGACACTGTGGTCATCCGAGTTTTTCGAATTAATTGATGTTTCTCTACTAGCCATTCTATCAGTCATTTATTAATAAAATTAATCAGGCGTTATTGATCGTTACATGTATGGTCAGCTCTGAAAGTCAGTTAGACACATCTCCGACATTTCATCTTGTATTCGTTCAACTGTATAACCGATTTAATGAAACGTTATTCCTGCGAATTGTGTTCATTATTAATCATTGTTAGTTATTAATTCGTCAAACATACACAAACTGCTTTCCAAGTACTCTTAAAAATTTGTCGAGAATAATTCGATATTGTTATGAATCGTGATTCGCCATGAAGTAAAGTAATCTATGGCATGCAGTGCTGGAAACATTTAATCCCGTTAATTCCATTTATTTTTGAATTATTCGATATTTTATTAAATGTTTTTTTATAATACAATTTCGTAAAATAGCTATTAAAGACAAAATATAAAGACGCAGAGAATTGCATACTACTGTATGGTTCTTTTTTTGAGGATAAATCGTAGTTTCTCTGTTAAAATTTCAATAAATTTTTAAGACTAACAATAAGAACAACAAAAGTAAATTATTTGTGAAAAATAAAGATTATTCTCACTGTGCCTTTTTACCATTTTTAAGAAAAAGTAGCTAAAATATAAAAAATGTCTTGCTTTAATTAAAGTATTTTAAATGTTTGATTTATTTTTTGATGATTGAAAAATATTTCACAAATTATTTGTTTCGAAATGATAAAAACTATAATAGCTCAAGATTGTTCGCGAGATCTTTTTTTTTAGATTTTAAAATCTCTATTTTTTCCAACTGAACTATGTATATTTTGTTATATTTTATTTTATTTCCTATGAAAACATATTAAGGTACTCGGAAAACATTCGATTTAAAAAATAGGTCTTGCAAAATTTAATATATGAAAAACAAGAAAAGGCTGAAAAACAGTCATATTTATTTATGTTAGCCTTCTATATATCGTACAATAAGTTCCACAAAATTAAAATTAGTATCTTTCAAATTAATTACATTTTGATACAACTACTTTTATAATACTCTTTTTATGGAGAATGAAAAGACACTTCGATTATTATATAGGAAAAAAATCTCCGAAAATCTTCCATTTACCAAGAAACGATTACTGTCACGTTATAATTTCTGTTACAACATATAATATTTTGAAAATAAAATTTTTTCATATCTACACATATGATCATTGCCTCATCTATGATAATATGCTTGTTAAAAAAGAAAACTCTTTTAACGCCATCTATCTTGACTAGAATATTTTCTAAATGTAAAATTACAGATGAGGTATATGAATAGATCGCCACAGTCGAGTCATATACCTCGTTTGTGGTAAAATGTAAAGTGGGATTTCGTCTAGGATAACAAGTACACATCGATGTATAATTAGTGGCAAATTTTAGTTTAAATATTTGTAATGTTTCACGAAATATAATTTGTATATTAATACATAAAAATTAAAAACGTATAAGAATTTAAACAATATCGTTTTTACTTGGGAGATTTGTGCATATAAATATCGCATATATATATATATATATTTAATTTGTGTGCAATTTTTTAGCGATGTTAAAGTTAATAAAACAATAATTATTCAACAAGTTCGTTGAAAAAATAATTGAAAATAAAAATGTAAGAATAATAATTTGAATAATAATCGGTTTTAAGTTTGTTTTAAACTTATTTCAAATAGTATCAAAGATTATTTCATTTTTTCGTGCACGAATTTTTATTTTCGTATGTGAAAAATTAATTAAAGTCTACTTCTTGTTTATTTGATATAAAATTTTTCAAATTTAATGTTTAATATAATTGCAGATTCGGCATTTGTATAACAAATATTGAGAATTATAGTTGAGTTTAAGATTTATGCAATGGCTGGATTTACATTGTCAAAAGTAAAATTACAGACAGATGTATACATGGTATGCTTGCAGCATGCCTTGTCGACAGAAAAATTTGAAGTAATGGGTCTACTAATTGGGGATGTATGTTCATTAGTGTATTTGTTATTTTATACAACTTTATATATATATATAATATATTATATATAATATATTATATATATATATATGAAAAAATATGTATTGCTTCGTTAATGATTTATTAGGCGGTATGCAATGTAGCAAACATCGTATCGGTCATTATTTTGAGACGTTTGGACAAAAAGAAAGACAGAGTAGAAATTTCAGTCGAACAACTGTTAAAAGCTGTCAGTGAAGCAGACCGTTTGAGTGAAGAATTACAACGTCCTGTGCATGTTCTTGGATGGTATCATTCTCATCCTCACATCACAGTTTATCCATCGCATCTTGGTCAGTCGAAATTATATATTATTGATAAAGTAAATTATAATCAAGTATCATTTTAACGTAAAAGAATACTTTTATAGATATTAGAACCCAAACAAATTATCAAACGATGGATGATGGTTTTGTGGGTTTGATATTTTCAGTATTTTCAGAAAGTAAAGACTCTAAGGTAAACGATGAACAAATGATTCTAATATCGTGTTACATTTTCATTTTTCTGAATAAAGCATTTTATAGGAACAAGAGATTTCTTTAATTTGTTTTCAATCTCACAATGACAAAGTAGTAGAAATTCCATTGGAAATTGTTCATACGCCAATAATATCAAATATATGTTTAAAAGTAAGTTTTCAAATAATACAAATATAGTTGGTTTCGATCTATAACTAAATTTAATCTTTGTACATTTTTTAGACAATGACAGATTTGTTAAAACTTTTGGTACAAGAAGAAGAAGAAACAGCAGAAACGTTCGAAGATTGCCAGGATATTCTTGCCAGCATACACAATAATGCCGGTTAGTTTATTTATTTCATAATGTTAAAAAGGTTTATTTATTATAAATAATAAATTAATTGAATTGTTAATTACAGTGAGAACTCGAACGTTAGTTCATATAACAGATATAATTACTAAGCCTTTGGTACTGACGTTTAAGAAAAGAATAGCTTTAAATAAATTACGTGCTGCGTATCTTCAAAGGCAACTACAAGAATTACAAGAAGCGCATAATTGATGAAAATTTTGTTATTATATGATCCTCCATTTTTGTATTTTAATGTATCATATAAGTATATTAATTTCAGTATTTTTTTATTCTATGACAATAAATCTTCGTTTAATATTCGCACTATTTATTGTTATGAAAGATAAAATTACGTTCTGTATACAAACTGTAGCATTATCTAAGAAATAAAACATTAATTTTTTCTCGTGTTTATTTTAATAATATTTCTATAGCCTAAAAGAAGGATAAACGAACGAATCTTTCAGTGATTATTTTTATTTTACCTTTCACGAACAAAGATCTGGCAATACTTGCACAGTTCTATATTTACACTACGAGAACAACAGTGTATTTAAATAGACTTAAATGTATTCAAAACACGGATTCTGCAGAACGAGAAAGATGTATAGGATGAGAAGGACTACGTGCTAACCTTTTGCGAGGCAGCTTTTCCAAAGTAGTTAACAATTTTGCAAAGTCGGGCCGATTTTCTGCATGATATGACCAGCAAAGCATTAGGATATCCTATGAAATATATAAATAAATCAATAGAAAAGCAATTGTGATAATTTATGAATTTTTATGAAAGCTTAAAGATAAATTTAATTAAAATTTTATAAAATAATATTTGTACCTTTACGTCACGAGAAGCTTGCAAATTAGCTAAAGTTTGCTTCATTCCTTTGCCAACTTGCCAAATGATAGCTTCTGGAGGTTGACCTTTAAACGGCCATTCTCCACATAGAAGCTCGTACCATACGGTCCTACGATAATTTTAAACGAGTTTGAAGAAAAAAACGATATTTTAAAATTATATTTTGTTATCATCTTTCGCTAACCCAAATGCATAAACATCAGAAGCTTCGGTAAATGGTAATTCTTCCTGATCCCGATTCTCTTGCGGTTTCAATCGTCGAACTATTTCAGGAGCTAAATAACATAACCAGCCAGGTGGTATACTCAATAC